GAGGGGCCCAGCACTCCAAGAAGGCCATTGGATTTCTTTTTGGAATTCAAGTCTAATGCTGTAGTTGAGGTAGTGTACAGTAGTGGGATGCCATACACAAAGTACAGTACAAACTGCTTGTAGAGTCTGTGGATTCTGTCATGGAACACACCGGGTTACGGTATATGCTTCCTTGCTCAGGTGCTGCCACCTCAGGATGAACCTGAGCTTGCGTGGCTGGTTACTGTGCCGGAGCATGTTTGGCAGGAGTTTACATCGAAGGAGAATGTAGAACGCCAAATCAATGACGATGGCCGATGGAGTTATCGGATTGGATTGATTGGCAAACATACCAGTGCTGACCCTGTTTATCTCATGGATTCAGATGCTTGGTCATGAGGCAAGAGTTTGTTCAGCTTGACAACCCTTTTACTGTGATTACTGTATAGCATACCGGTATACACCCGGAAAGATTAACATGGAAACTGACAATCCACCCTTGGAAGACTATATATATACAGTACTACTCTACAACCTAGTGGCTTTCAGGTTCTATGTTAAGCTTCCAGAGTGTATGACAGTACGGTAAGGGCCTGCAATCTTCAGTACCGTGTTGCCCAGGACTTTGCCTTCCAAGACAAGGCCGCCATTCAGTCTGCCATCTTCATGGCTGACTATCGAGACGCTGAAATTCAAACGCTTAAGGCGATGAAGGTCCCAATCCTCAAGATTGAAGCGCAGTCTCTGCAGATCAAATTCGCCCACAACATCAGAAAGCAGGGTCTGATGGACAAGATCCTCTTCCACCGCTGTACCCTGGCATCACTGTAACTCTTTTCACCCTAACATAGACAACAACGGCAGTGTTTACAGTACTGTACTTTACTATAGTTGGTTTTTGGACGGTGCCCAAATTTGGTGTATCGTTTACATGTTTACAGTACTGTAGTCACTGTTTGTCTTTTGTGCCATCGGTGCACTGTACAGCAGATTCAAGGTTCTGAGCAGTGTCAATCTGAAGTGAACCGTTTCAAGGAGGAATTTGGACATTTGTTTGAAGCAGCAAGCAGCGAGAAGCAGATTGCAAGCAAAGCAGAAGCCAAGACAAGCAAGAAGCCTGACAAAGCACATACACAAGCCAAAGCGAAAGCACAAGAGGCATCATCATCAGCCTCAATGAAGCCTAGCAAAGAGCATGCCACAACGACTAACATAGAATATTGACAAGACAAAGCATTAGCGCCGGTATTGTCATCTGCAACGGTTGAGCAGATGAAGGCTAACATAGCCAATGCGCTCAAAGCTTCAGGCATATCCAAACCCGAGCCTCCAGTGATCAAGTCTGAACCCTTTGTGCCAGTGAAGGTCAAGACGGAACCTGTTGAGTTGCCGGTGGTTGCATGCGCTGGGGGAGCTTCAGCTTCCAGTGGCCAAGCACCGTTACTGCCCAGCTCCAACAATGCGGTTGGTGGGGGTGGTGCCTTTGGGTCTGGTGGGACACAAGATGAGGCTGGCATTTTGACGCACCATTTTGTCCCACTGGCAGACACAGCGGAGCAGCCAGGTCAGCAGCAACAAAAGGACCTGTTTCTGGCGGCTGACCTTGTGATTCCTGGAATTGCTCTGAAAAAGATGAAGCAAGCCTTGACAGCTGCAAATGAAGCATCCAAGCACTTCTTTGGTGTCATGGCACCCGCCACTGGCAAGATGTACCGAAAAGAGAAGCCTAGTGTGCAAAAGCTTGTCATTGCAAACATGCAGTTGCATGGGCAAGTTTTTTGGCAGCGAGTGGTCAAGCACTTTGCAGGGAATGAGCTCTCTGTGTTTCTTGTCCCTTCCAATTCAGAGATGCATCCAACGGCAGCAACTTGGCTTGCAAAACTATCAAGCAGCACAGCACACGAGCATACTAACATAGGACTTGCACAGTCTGATCAATACAGTAGAACCCCTGGACCTGCAGTAGAGGCTGATGATTACAAATGCTTCAGATCTACACTAACCAAGAACACAAACAAAACACCCACTGCTTTGCTTTCTCTTCTGAGGCACTAGAGCAAATGCCATTGAGCCTTCATCCAAGCAACAAGCAAGTGTATGTCATTGAGATTCCGTCGGATAGTTCACTTGGTAGAAGCGACGCTGACTTCTCGAACATCAACCATTGGCTTGTGGATATGGAGGGCAACCACCTATGCAATCCAATGGTGCAAGTTTTTGCCAACGGCAAGCTGGGTACTTTGAAAGGTGGTCTTTTGCACTTGTCAGATGCCCGGAGTGTTCTGTCAAAGGAGGATTTGTGTGATCTTGCCATGGAGGATACAAGCGTGAGGCTGACCAACAAAAGGACATTTGTTGCCAAAGGTTTACAGTAAGGTATACAGTACAGTAGGGGAGGGGAAAGTGCAGTATGTTTTGTATAATGTTGATACTAACTAATACTAACCTAGAACACAGTACAGTATTGTTTTTGTTGCAACACCATTTTGCGCACTACTGTACAGTACAGTACATGTCCCACGTTGCTTTGGTGTTCCATGTTAGTACGCTGCAGCAGAGCAGGAAATGTATGCAAGATGCTCAAGAAGTTGGTTCTATGAAACGGCATTGCTCGGATCAAAGTCTGGCGGATTCCGAGGAAGCCCTTTCGAAATTGCAAGAGAAAGAAAACGAGTTGACGCAGAAGCTTGCTCTCTTCAACCAAGTCCTTGCTCAAATGACAGCTCCAAACTCCAATCGGCCTGAGAAGTCTGAGGATGACACCTGGATCGATCACTTTAAGCTGCTTGTGGGAAGTGACATCCCAGAGGCTCCTGCGACCTTTCAAAACAGCTCTCTGTCCTACCAGGAGGTGCTCATTCGGCTTGCCCAGCACATAGGCTTTATCACCACCGCATTGCAGAAAGCAAAGAATGGTCACGCGCGAGCTGTTCAAAAGAAATTGATCAAAGAGAAGCACTTAGCGAAAAAAGAACAGAGACTCAAGAGGAAGGTTGAGGAAACTTTTGGAGAGAATGCTGAATTGGAGCGGAAGAAGATGAAATCCAAGTAACTTGGACTGATGTACAGTAGGTTACAGTAGGTACTGTATGTTTTCCTCAAAAGGTCAAAGTTCAAGGTCAAAAAATATATGTGTTTGTGTGCCATGTTAGGAGTCCAGTGTGTACGCTTTTTTTGCCCACCAGAATTTCTTTCCACTGCAGGCAGCGGCGCAGACAACAGTACTTTGCCAAAAAGAAGTCCAAGGCCAAAGCAAAAACTTTGAAGCGTCGAGCGCGCCAGTACAAGACCATTGACAATGGCGAGTTCCCTCAACCTCTCAGAGCACCCCGCAGAGTCATCACTATTGAGAAGAAGCTCAGCGTATTGGACAGGTGGGAGGAATTGGTTGAGCAGAAGAAGAAAGCTCAAGAAGCTGCCCAAGAACCTCGACCAGTGGGTGTTCCCCGCGCCAAGATGAAGGAATGGAAGGCAGCCGTCAAGGAGGCCAAGAAAAAAAGCAGATTGGCTCTGTTGAAAACAATCCGACATGAATTCCCAGACATTGTCGGTGGTTGCCAGCCTTTCAAGTGGAAGAAAACAGCAGAGCGAGAGGGGTGGAGGCATTTGCCACAGTTTATCCAGGCCAGATGTTCAGCCACAGCGAATGAATGGCGAAGTAGACTGAGTCTTGCGAAGAAAGGTAGGTCCATCGGTGGTGCTGTGCCTCATTGCATTCAGCGCGAATTGGATTTGCTGATCATGGAGCACTCATCGGGCATGTCAGGAGTGTCGGAGCGCAAAGAAATTGTGACAATGGAGCATGTTGCAGCCTGGCAATATCATTACTAAATTACAGTACCCCCTGCACACTAACATGGAACATGCACTCCCCACAGTACACGAGTCCCGCACTGTACTCCCAGTGTTTCACAAATAGGGCACCTCAGACTAACATACCACCCAGATCTTTTTTGATGATGTTAAACTTCGTGGGTGCGCAGTACATCCTGCAAAAAATACTGTACCTCAGACTTTTTGTTCCATGTTAGGGGTCCAGTGGTAGCTAAGGCAACGACGGTAAGCTCACTGGTCAAAGACTGGAATGAGAGTCTGGATGGCCGAGTGAACATGGTACAGGAGTGGAACAGGTCCATTGAGCAAGACTTCAATGATGGCAAGATCTCTGCCGAGGCTGCGCTAGCAGGATACGAGCCTGTCCCACAAAAGATACCCACCCCAACTACTGCATGGGTGCGATGGTGGAAGTCAACATGGGGGTGGAGTATGCTAACAAGAGCTGGAGAAGAGAGCACGTGGCTTCCATACGATCACCCAGACATGGAAGCCAGCAGGCGGCATACGGCTAGCTTGATTTCCGAGAAGGGGGTCCACAAGTATCTAATTTTGAATTATGATCAACTGTGGCGCAATTGTTGGCAAATGAGTCACTACAAGCTATGCTTTAAGCATCGCAGTGGAGCAGGAAAGCGGGTGCGTAAGCTGGCTGCAGGTATGCGTGAGGACAAGAAGATTCATTCTGTACGCGGCAGTCGCAGGAGCGTGACCGTTCTTTGCCTTTGATGTGATTGATACACTTTTTTTTAACCTATAGTACCATACAGTACAGTACCTGTTTTTTAACTTACCCAAACTAACCGCACAGCGCACCATGCACTACAGTAACATAGAACATGGTGGCCATACTTGACTGTTATTTTACATCTATCCCAAGACAGAACCAGGTTCTCACAACGTCATGGTCCGATGGCACGCCAGGGCCAATTGCCTTCTGTGTGGCTGAGGGTCACATAAGCGGCCAAGACATTGTGGACTACAATCTCAAGAACTATGGCCGGAGTATGGTGGTGACCTCCGGAGGATCCAGTCATTTCATGACAGGGGAGACAATGATGATCATGATGGAGCAATTGATATCGCCGGCTCTGAAATTGCAACGTGAACGGTGCCTCTCCGCAGTGTATGTACAGCACATTCCAGTCAATAGTGCAAACACTGCAAAACAATCCCCTGTATTGCACTTGTGATGTTCTATGTTAGCCTGGCCGTTTAACTCAGGCATGGCCTGAGCGATCAGGATCGCGCAGCACTGCTGTGTGATGCTTGGACTGGCAGCTTCTCAAAACATGGCGGACTTGACTTTCGAAGGACTTGTGTTTTCTGTAGCGGCACTTGTGTTTGTCATTCCATTGACCCAGGTCAATGTACTTTAACATGAAACACATTGTGCCCAGGAGCACTTGGTTCACATCGCATAACTGCGAACCGCCACGCCTCCAACCTGGTGGCTGGTCCACCCATGGCCAGCCTGTTGACTCCATGCACCAGAGCTTTCGACAGGAGATTCGCAAGGTGGATCTGGCATCAACAGGGCATGTATGCGATTTGCGCAACAGGGCACGCTGCTTGACTGTCTGAAAACCGAAATATGGACAAGACTTACAGTAGTGCTGCCGGGTGTTGACTGCTTTTACCATTTGTTCCTTGTCACTACATGTGCACCCAGGAAGATTACACTAACATGGAACCTAAACACTACTGGGTTGTAGAAGAAAATGATTCTGGGTGTACTGTATCCTGCCAAGGCTTTGAAGACCTGGACATAAAGGCATCGGGCCAGATTGCAGCTTCAGTCCAGAACATGCGCCGTGTGCTGGAACTCTCCCTTCAAGCTTGGAACTCGATTCCTATCCGAGTTTTTCAAGCAAGCTGGATAGTGACGGGGTACTTTGAGTCCAGTCACTTTCCACCAATCGATCAGACTCCTTCTGACATTGGTGCCGCTCAGAAGGTGCTGGATCCGGCTGGAGTGAGTGGAGGGTCTTTGCCAGGAACTCCTCAGTTTTGTCACAAATATGAGTGGCAAGTGCAGGACTGCTGAACCAAGTCTGTGTGTTCTATGTCAATGTGCTAGTCTGTTCCTGTTCTATGTTCTTTGTTCCTGCTGTGTTTTATGTTAATGTGTTCCATGTTCCTGTTCTCCTCTTTTCCATACTGTACAGCACTGTAATCCTGTGATTTCTCTCAACCACAGGATGAAGACACGCCGGATGAGTGGCATGGGCTGCCATACGAGATCGCTCATGCTATTGTGCGATGTGTCACAATGCATGGAAAGGCATTCTTGGACGCCAAGAGAGAACTTCATGCCCAAAAGCAAGTCGACCTCTCCGGAAAGAAGCCCAAAACCTTGAAGTTGAAATCGGCGTTTGAGGCGCTTCATGAATCAAAGCGCTACTCCGTGATGAACCGAAGAACTGGCTGGGTGGCGACTTCCGAGTGGTTAAACACCCATGTGAAGGTTGCAGAGGATGGGAAACCACACCCCAAGAAGGAGAAAGGCAAACTGTGGATCCTAACCATCCACATCAAGATTGTCGGCCCCAACATTGACGTGCGTTTTAGTCCTTCTGATGGCAAGCCCTTCCGAGCTGTTCGATGCCTCTCTCTCGAAGGTGGAGCAGTGAATGCAAAGCTCACGTCCATAGTCTCAGGATACGAGCATTTGCTGACTGATGATGATGATGCAGAAGCTCATTTGATTTGAGACGCATCACCGGTGTTCTATGTTAGGGCAAGTTGGTTTTGTGCTCTCCACCAAAATTGGACAAGCATACAGTATACAATACAGCAGAGGAAATGTGTCACCGGTATTCTATGTTAGGAGTGTCAGGGTAGGTTCATACCCATCTACTGTCCCTAAAGCACATCGAAATTATAGCGTGCGCATTTCAATAATTTGGAGGTGAGAATTTGAAATAGTACAACTAAGGAAATTGACGAACAAGATGCTGGCTCCATCGACATGGAAGAACATGCCACACCAGATGCAGAAAGCGATGGTGCAGATAGCTTGCCTGGCGATGAAGCTGGCATTGAAGGACTGGGGATACTTACAGTACAGGACTGTTGTATAAAATGCTTTTGAGCTACTGGGTGTTCTATGTTAGGCTCCAAGCTTTGGTGGGACATATATGGACATATTCAATTGGAAGCGCATTTGACAGAGTAACATGAACCAATTCTCCAAACCCACAGACATGATTGGAGGACAAGAAGATGGTTACATGGCGGACCTGCAGATGGACCCTGCACCTTCAGTGGCTGCAGGTAAGGACAAACCAGAGAAAGTTTGGCAGTGCAAGAAGAATGGCAAGTACTCCTCGGCAACGGGCCACCATGGATCCGATACTTCCCCAATGCATGAGGCTACTGGATGGATGCCAGATGATCATGTTGATGAATCAATGCTGGTGACAGCTTGCGGTGCGGAGACCAAGAAGAAGGGTGCCTTTGAGATCAAGCACGTGCCTGCGACCTTTTTCACACGAGCAGCCTTTGTTGAGCTTGCTGCCAAAGACCTCGCAAAGGTCCCGCCAGGAGAAGGTTGGCAAATAGCCTACCACTCCCAGACGAAGCGATGGCATGCAAGGACCCCAAGTAAGCAGAATTATGCTCCTACTTGGGGCATGAGGCGCTCCGAGCTTAAAGCTCTGTGTTTGGCTCTGCAGCAGCTATGGGATTGGTACATCAATAGTGACCCTCCAGACAGAACGGAGGCTGATGCGCATCTTGCCCGGTTGGTCGAATTCACCGACTCAATCGAGTTTTGACCATTAACATGGATGGGGAAGAGAAACAAAACAGCAGCAACAAGGTCTATGTTAGGAGCGTTCTCTGTTGATTTTGACCATGAAGACGGGTTGGCAGAAGAACCACAACAGCAGCCACAAGTTCCATGTTAGGAGTAATTCCGGTTGATGGTCAATGATGTCTCTAGGAGATACCTGGGTGGATCCGTCTCCAGAGAACAATCTGGAATTTTCAGAATTCAGTTGCTAGTTTGGTCCTGACCTTAGACCAAAATGGTCGCCTGAGTGTTGTGTTCTAGGTTAAGGCTCTAGTTGTCCTTTGGTTCATTTAAGCACTGCAGTAAACTACAGTACAGTATGTTACTTTTCCTTGGACTCAGGGCAAGGTTTCAGTTGACAGCTAAGCTAATGTCCACTTGGTGGCTGATCATTGCAAAAAAGATCATCACATAGTATGAACCATCAGCCACCAGAACGAAGAGAACAAAGACATACAGAATTCCGGGAAAGGAAAAAGGCCAGCCGATCATTGTTCATGTGGCATGTTAGTGTGAGGTGCGCTATTTATGAAACAGTCCTGGGAGCGGGCCATGTTAGTGTGGACACACTGAGATTGGCAGGTGCATGTGTGGTATGTTAGCGTGAGGTGCCCTATTTGTGAAACAGCCCTGAGAGCGGGCCATGTTAGTGTGGATACACTGGGGGAAACATGCTTGGAGAATTTTCCCAGGTGTGGAGACTAACATGGATCATTTCCAGATACTGGATTCCCTAGATCTTGGCTACTTCTGACGTATTCCATGTTAGCATCTATTAGCATGTCAAGGGTGCTGCATTTCTAGTGCACCAATCTTCATTCCGGCCTTGTAGTGTTCTACGTTAGTCTCCGGAATCACCTTTTCCTCTCATACCGGTGCTTTCTATATTCCCCGGGACTTCTAACGAGCAGGTGGGCCATGTTAATGAGCACTGAGAGTTGGAGCCACGTTCCATGATAAACTTCGCCGGAGTATCTAGAAGCCGCACTTCGATACGAGTCGCAGCAAAGGATCTGGTCTGAGCTCAATGGCCAGCCGATTGCAGCTCTTGGTGACCAGAAGGGATAGTTTGTCCCTAAAGGCAAGAAAGGGAAAGGCAAGGAGAAGAAAGGGGGTAAAGATGGAAAGACCCAAGAAAGTCTCGAAAAAGGAAAAGGAATTGGAAATGGCAGTGAGTCAAGGACATGTTTCCAATGCAATCAACGAGGACACCTTGCTGCCGATTGTCCCAACAAGAGTCCATTCAAGTCAAAAGGTGATTCTAATTCCAAAGGGTCAAACAAGAGTGATGGAAAGGGCAAGAAAGGATTTGAGAAAGGAAAGAAGGGAAGTCCATCTGACAAAGGAAAGTCAAAGGGAGGAAAACCAAAGGGACAAAGAGCAACTGAATTCCAGCAGCAACCAGAGTCGGAGGTAGGGAGTGAATGGTCTGAGCCGGATGTTGAAGATGGAGGTCGTTTGTCTCCCTTCAATGAACAGGATGTAGCTCAACCATTCTTCATTTGTCAGAACATGCAGTCCGCAGATCCCTACCTGTGGTTGGTTGATTCCGGTGCTAGCCGAACCGTCGTGTCCCTCGATTCCCTGTCAGCATACAAAGTCCTTCGTGAACGCACATTGGCAACTCCCATCCAGTTTCGAACTGCCTCAGGGGAACAGGTTCAGATTGATCACGAATGTATGCTCGAAGTTAGTTTTCCAACAACCATTGAACATGATGAATGTGATCGCAACAAGTTGGTCAAGTATGAGATTCGAGCAGTCGTCGGTCCAGTCGAACACAACCTCCTTAGCGTTTGCAGTTTGACCAAGCTCGGTGCGACATTCGTGTTTGGACCAGATCAGTGCCATATCCGCGTCAGTGACATCAGGCGCCTGGATTGCGAAATCTGGGCAAATGTACCTTGGATCCGAGCACAGCAGCGCAAGCCTCGTGGACGAGATCAGGATATGGAAATGAAAGGTAAACTGACCATGGACACCTGGACCAGTGAAGATTTGGACGACTATGAAAGCAGGAAACGAGCACTTTCGGCATGGTTCAACAATAAACCATTATCTGAAACAGCAAAAGATGAAGGCTCAGATGGTCAAACACCATCTAGTTCGCATGGCAAGAGCCCGAAGGTGTCATTTTTCGTTTCTGCCACTCAGTCAAAGGGGTCCATGAGTCAAGGTATGTCTTCAGGTCATGTGAAAGTTTTGAAGTTTGAAGACCGCCCTGAGATCAAGACGTTCGAGGTTGAGCCGAAAGCCAATAGAATTGAGCCCAATCACCGTGTTACCAGTCAAGATCATGGCTTTCTCAACGCTGCTGACCATCCATTGCCCCCACCAGGTGATCTTGAAGATGCCATTGAGCGTCCACACGATGGTAAAGAGCCTTGTCCTCCGAGCGAAGTCACCAGGTATCCAGAATTCTCAAAGAAGGTGGATCGTGAACTGTCGTTGCACCGCCGACGTGGACACATTCCATTCGACAGCCGTTGTGTTCATTGCATCAAAAGTAGATCCACTTTGCATCATGGACGAGTAAGTAAGTCAAGCAGCACACCCGTCGATCATCACATGATGTTGATTCAAGCAGACTTTTTCTTTTTAGAAGGAAATAAGTTCATTTTGCTCGTCGATGCCGGAACCGGATTGCTTGGAATTAGTTTGTGCGGTCCCAACCAAGACCAAACGCTAGCCGATTGCCGCCAGTACTTCCGACAGCTTGGTGTTTCGGATCAGTCGTCCCAAACCGTTGAAGTGTTGACCGACAGCGAAGCCTTGATCGGACAGCTGTTGAGACGACTTGGTCTACCACTTCAGGTAAAGTCTGCCGCACCTCAAGCTCACGAAAGCATCGGACTTGCAGAGAGGAACGTGCGGAGGGTGAAGGAAATGACGGGGTGTCTTAGGAGTGATCTTCGTCTGCATGGGGTTGACATCACTGGAACACCAGAGAGCTTTAGTCGATTGGTTCAGTATGTCACTCAAACGCACAACCACTTTGGTGTTGGAGGTTCGGTAGGGCAGTCAGCAGGACTTGAAAATCGTCGGACGCCACTCGAGTTGGTGTTGAACAAAGATAGATCTAAGCCAGTATCAACCATATTCGGAAGCGTCTGCCACGCCCAAGTTCCCGATTCGTTGATCGAGTTGATACCCGAAAAGACAAGATTCATTCCAGCAGCATACATGCATGTGAAGCCTAACAGTTTGGCGCATGTAGTGTCAAGTTGCATCCAGGGATCTGAGAAGGTGTATCAGGCAGAGATAAAGCCCTTATCGGAGATCCTCTGGGACTGTTCACTTGCACCCAACATCCTCACGGAGGTTAGTAAGCCTGATCTACCACCATCACTGGAAGATCCCGAGAAGGCTGTCAGGCCGTTGGACGACAAGGTAAGGGTCGATGAGCCACTTCCTTCGAATGGTCCACCACGCAGTTGGGTAAGAGAGCATGGAGCCACTCCCCAATGTGGCGCTTGTCAGTCACGACATGGTCGAAAACACACAGCAGCTTGTTGCCGCCGATACCGAGAGTGGGTCATGTCCGAGCGAAATGCATTAGCCGAGAAACATCCTAAACCCGATGATCACAAAGAGTCTCAAGATGTTTCCAAATCAAGTGAGTCCAAGCCAGATGTCATTGAACCAGCACATCCGACAGGCCGCCTTCGCTATCACCAGAAGGGACCACCTGTGAATCCGAGTGAAGCGCCTGCCGATGCGACCGATTGTCCGATTGAATCAGGTGACATGGAATACACTCCGTCAGAACCGCCACAAGCTGGTGATGTCGACATGATTGATGATCAAGATTTGCCTGTGCCACCTGATCCAAGCGAAATGCCGATGGACATTTCTCAGCTCATTGAGAGATTGTCTGAGCCGCCTGAAATGCTGTATCGTCGGCCGTTCACTGGGAA